GAGACCAACACAACATACATAATTAAACAACAGTTACCTCAAGGAGAAACCTCGCTACCAGACTTAAAGCAAAAAGAGAGCCAAATACGGAAACAAACCTCGCACAAAACACGAAGAATTCCTGATAACTATTTTCAGCCAGAACAGAGCATGACACGAACTCTGCAGAGTACAGATTTGAAGATTCTAACAATCCCTAAAATATTAATCAACATGACCTACCACTCAACATGACAACATCCACTGGACATCACACCAGCTATGACATAAAAAAAATTGAAATTAAATGAATTATATATGAGATTGGCTCTGCTTATGTACAATAAAATGGTTGCTACTCTTAACGCTATGAACAAAGTCGCTACCAGCAAACGTCATTTAATATTAATTATTCGCAAATTACCTTCCGAATGCAAACTTATGAATTTATCGCTCAAGCACCTTTTAAAGCCACGACACTGTTTTAAAGTTGATTATGATATTTACATGAATTTGGCAAGAATTAAAATGGCTTTTAAAATTTAAATGGTAAGATCTAATATTGCATCAGAAGATAACAGAATGGGACAAACCACATATAAAGCAAGTTCCTTGCATCACCAGCCAAAACAGTGTTTTTATAATCTATGAGAAACAATGATCAACTTGGGTCCAATAAAACAGTCTAAGTGTACTGAACTCCTTATAATATAAGCTGTTACACTGTGCGAAATCTAGAAGATTCATTAAACTGCGTCAAGAAAACATCGGAAGACATGCGAAGTTGAAGTTTCCTTTGAGGAAAGTTCAGTACACAAACAAAACAGTGGAGCCTAGATTTATGACCGCGCTGCCCATGCTGCCAATCGAATACTGAATTCTGGGAAGCTTAAAACAAGGACGACCACGACGGGAAAAAGGGACCAATGCAACAGGTTCTGTCCAATGAGCGAAAATAATCGCATGCGTTATACATTTTTGTTGTCGTTGCCATACTCTACCAAACCAAATTGTATGGTCGGTTAGCAGGGTGTGAGTGGAAATTGTAACAACCGTGTTAAGTGTAGTAACTCCTTGAGCTAACTCGGTGGTCTACTGTTTTTACAAAGAACAAAACACCTGTAAAAGCTAAGAACGAATGTTAAGCAAGTAGACTAAGTGGGCACTATAACATGATACAGCAGCAGCATAACCTCTGTCGTCCACCGCCAACACTCAGGGGGAGGGGTGACTGGGGCAAAGTATTCATGTACATTTAGGTCTGGTAGATGAGCCTGCAAAAAGGAAGATCGGTACACAGCGTTACGAACAAAGAAAAGACATCACGTGAATTAGAGCCGATGTGCAAAGAGAGTACGGTTCAAATAGTTCACTTTGGAAAAGACTGGGACCGAGTGGCCGTGCAAGCGATTGTGGGATTGTTCGCGTATTGCGAAGAAATGATCGCATCCCCTAAACAATCCCAAATACCTCATGAGACATTCTCGATTCCAGTCTCTTCCAAGGTAAGCTATATAAACAGATTAACTCACGTGTCGAGGCAAGTGGTCACGTAAGTTAACGCATACCATGTAACGCAATAATTAATAGGACACACAAGCGCTGAACGATCTCGTCCCATGGGCAACTCCATCTCACGTTCACCTGGCAGATTGTTCGCGCCCCCTGTTCTCCTCATTGGGATGTGTTCTCACTGGCTAGGGCAGACGGGCTTGGGAGTTATCACGAAGCCGAGGATACTTTACACTGGCCTTTTCATAGTTTCCCGAAACGAGAATATATAGTAGGATCACAAACACCCGAAATTAAGAAGCACATATCTTGACTATCACGATGCCTAGAGATATCCAATCTTATAATTCATATTATATTGATAG